AAATGAGGATCCGAGTGGGAAGGGAGCTATGTAGCAAGCATCAAGCACACGTGGGATGGACAAGGACTTTTCCAGAAGGGCTAGGTAAGGAGGTTCAGTCTTCTACTCCAAGGTGACATATGTCTCCTTACAATATCGATCACTGCTGTTCACCTAGGGGACCTATCCAGGTGAGTAGCTTCTTTGTTCTTGAAGCACGGCCTTCAGTGAATGTGCCTCCAGCCAAAATTGTCTTCTGCACTGACCTCTTGAGGGCCAGCCCTGTCTGACTGCCTGTAATATGTCTACCTCACTTAGCTGTCTGTAATAATACCTGCAAGCCTGTAACAGAGGGTGACAATGCGTAAACAGGAACAATACATTTTTCACCAAGATAAAGACAGCATTCGGTTAATAAAGCATCTGAGGTGTCACAGTGTTTAGAGAATAAATTTGGGAATGCACCAGCTGAGTGCCTAGCCTGTGTGTCCAAAGCCCTGCATACCAGCTCTTATGGTTTCCATTCTTTTTCCGAGGAATTTGAAGTTCAGCCAGGTACTGAGGACTTCGGGAGGCGGCAGGCACAGGCTTCCTCTCCAGCAAAGTTTACTGAGGTGCAAGTCAGGAGGGGCCACCCCGGAGGACCCTGGCGACCAAAGGACTCAGCATCTGTCCATGGTCCCCAGTGTACTAAATACACAGAGTGCATCTGTGCTTGCTGCTTCAATCTGGGAGGGGAAGGTGGGATGGAGAGGAGAAGGGACAGGGAGAGCCAGGAGGAGAAAGACAGTGACGGCCAGGATAGGCTGACGGGCTGGGCAGCTTGGTCTCTCATCTTCAAAGCTGATGATTTTCCAGGTAGGTCTTATTTTTGGAAAATACTTTACTTCATATTTCCTCTTCCAGACCTCTTAAAGACATTTGTTAAACTTGAGGCTGTCTCTAGAGATCACACTTCATCAGTGGTAGCCCCAGCTGCAGCCAGGGAGTCTAAAGGAAGAAGGAAGAAGGAAGCCATGCTTGCTCCCAAACATCCTTGTGCTCCATGCTAAGCAAAGCTTCCTAAAATATCAAAGAGCCAGGCAAATTGAGTCTGTTTGAGCTCATGGCTCACAGGAAGGTGGGGCTGTCCTCCACCTCCCCTCTCTCCTCTCCTGCACCTGTCTTGAGAATAGTTAAGTAACAGAAAGACACTTTCACCTCAAGACTGCAAGTGCCATGCCTGTGGAGATGCCTCAGGGTTGTTCATTATGCCCCTGAAGGCACTCCGATGTTTTGGATTTCATAGACAATGGGCAAATGAAGTTTTGGGAACCAGATGGCTGGTTACGAGCTAGCAAGAGGCTCCCATGGGGTATGGTTAAAGACAGATGCAAAGCACTGTCCCAGATTGACTGGTGCACAGAAAGACTGAGAATAGGATTTACAGCAAGAGAGGACTTGTATACATCAAGATAAAATGAGAAGAGTTTATAGGTTATGTGGGATAGAACTGAATTTTGGAGTATGCATAGAAATTGAATGAGTAAACTTTTATGTATGTAAGTGGGTGTACAGTGATTAAATTGAAAGAAAAATAAGGACACAGCTCAACTTGAAATGCATTGTTTTAGATTAAAGGCATAGCTCAACAGGGAAACTATGAAGATGGGTCCAGGTAGTCTTCAAGATTCCTTCCCTCCTTTACTGGAAAATCGAGATGATCTTTAGGTCCTCAGCACAACCACAGACGGCGTGTCCTGGATTACATTTGTACTTAGACCTGTCTGGCTCATTGGCCACCACTCTCAGCTCTAACTGAGGCTGAAACAGCTCCGGGGGTCTCAGCTCCTCCCCGGGCCTGCCCCCTGGTGCCCACCAGCTGTGCACTGGCTCGAGGTGATTGAAGAGCAAGGCAGAGTCTCAGCCATGGCGTGGTGCATCGCTGCCCAGGTACAGGGGCACCACAGCTCACACTGGAGGACCCACTCTAATGAAGGGAAGCGACATCTGAAAATAGGACCATCTTCCTGGAGAGCGGAAACACATATGCTGGAGAGACTTCAGCGTAGAATTTGGCATCTGAGTGAAAAAATTTACAAATGCTTTACAAATGTTCTCCTCTCAATACTCAATTTAATTGGTACTCACTAGAATTCAAGACATTTCATTTTGATCAGGCAAAAAAAAAAAAATCACAGAAGAAATATGGTTGACCAGATGCCTCAGAGGAACAATTAGAACATGTAGTGTAGCCTTGCTGTGGTTGTGTGTCCCTGTGTACCCACACCCGGGTACAGGCATGCACATGCTGTGACACAGAGAGTAGTTTTCAAGAGTATGGCCTTGTAGAGCAACTTTAACTTGTATGGTTTCTCAGCATCGCTGTTGTCTGGAGTCATCACAAGAAGCAGTGGTGATGACTATACTCCTGGCCTCCACGTGGCAGGGTTTCTTCTAGGCACAAGAGCATTGCTCAGCTGGGTTGTTCCTTAGTGGTACCTGAGAACAGCCCTCATGTGTCCCCATTGTTTTCCCAGCCATGCAGGTCTGTATGGTGAGGTTCCTCCTCAGTATCCCATGATTGCCCATGTCTAGCTTAAATGACCATCTGCTCAAGCTGGAGATGGGTGGAGCTTTCAGGCCTGAGGTGAGCATACAAACCAGGAGAGCCCAGCATCGGACAGCTAGTGGGTTCCAGAACTGGCTGGAATCACTGTTGGCTCAGCAGTCAGTGACTGAGGACTGGGGTTGAGCAGAGGGGCAGCCACCTGTTCCGTCACTGAAGGGCAGATAGATTCTGGCCCTGTGGACCCTGGGGTTAACCAAGAAGACTGACTGTATGGCTAGCGCTGAGCATTGATGCAATTTCCTTCTTGGCCACTCACATATCTCCTTCTCTGGCCCCTTCAAGCAAGGATCCTTTTGACTCCTAGGGGCTGGAGTCTTCTTGTCCCCAGAAGATATCTTGGCCCCTTCCAACCTGAAGCACTTGGGATGAGGGACGATATTTCATATGTGTCTCTGGCCATCACGTGGGTCATCTTTGTCCATGGGCCTAAACATAGAGATGATTTTCTTCATCAAATTTGAGCACTTCAGCACCTCGTCTGTTTGCAGGGCAGCAGCCAAGGTGCCCTTTTCATGAGCTTAAATTTGCACTACAGAAAACACGTTGTTCATAATTTATATCCTTATCTGGAATCTTTACAGTAACATATAGTGATGTTCGAGAACTGAAGTTTCAGTGTCATAAGGTGTGAAGGATGGAACTGTTGGATTGGGGAATTGTTTATCAACACATGACCACAATAAACTTGTATGCTGAATGCATCTAACTGAGTCCATCGTGGGACTCTGAGGTAGCATCTTCCTTCGGGCACACTAAACTGTGACTCCTGAATGAATGTGCAGTGCTGAGGTGCTGATTTCTACCTGGAATCATTCCAGTTTCGTTTATTTGGGTGCAGGGGACTTGGAAAATAGTTTGGGCTTATTTGAAAAACTAACCGTTAAAAACAAAAGTATCACATGCTTTTTGAAGATCAGAAATAGTGTTAGTAGTGAGCAGCTGTTTGTGCATAAAAGAGGAAAAGAGGATTTTTAACCCTCCACAATCGCTTTTGAGATAGCCACATGTGACATTTGCAGGGAGAACAATAGTGTATGGTAACAATTCTGAAAAATAATGAAATAACTGTTCTTTATTAGTTGGTTAAATTTCCTGGTGATGCGAAACACCTCCTCCTTCAAATTGCATGGGTTTAATTTTGCCCTTAATAACCAGGCCTGCAGAGTAGATGAGCTGCTGACCACGTATCTGCCCTTACTTCGTCTTCTGGTTGCTTCAAGCATCTGTTCTGATATTATATCTAATGTATGAGATTCGAGAAACTCTGAAATGATCAATGTGGTGACCTGGTACAGAGCTGAGTTTCTTAGGGAAGAACAGAGATCAAGAAACTTCATTAAATTTTAAATTACCATTTTTCCTATCTTCTGAAGGGAGCAAATTTAACAGAATCAAATCTAGTTTGCCATATAGCCATGCCCCTGTTAGACACTAATCATTCCCTGAGAGAGTGATGAACACTAGGAAGATAGACTTTGTGTGGCTAGACATCATTCTTCCAGGGTCCAGAATGTGAGGACGTGGTTTCCAAATACAGAAAGCTAACAGGGCTCCCGAAAGCAGGGAGCTGCATGGAGAGATGGCTCTCCACGTGTAGAGCCAACCTCAGGTGTTTTTGTGAGTCTCTCCGTGTGTCGGCAGCATCTCCTCAGCGCCTCAGAGAGGAGCAGGCATTGCTTCTCAGTGCTGTTGTGCAGACAGACATCTCCAGTTCTGTCACTACTCCCATGCCACGCTGTTAGCTCCATGCGGTGCATCCCCTCAGATTCTAAGACCTGTGGGGGCAGAAAGGGGGTCCCGGGTGTCTCCTGTTGTGCAAAACGATGAGCTGCCAAATATTTACAGAGGAAACCAGTGAGTGAAAAATCAACACTTTAATAATGAGCCGGGGAGCAAGCAGTAGGGAGACGTGAATCCAGACACTGAGCTTTGCTGAGAGTTCCGAGAAGGGGGTTCCAGTTACTTGAAGGACAGATTTCCAGGGTAAAGCAGTGGTATCTTCAGTAGCTTTTGTCTACTGCACCTTGTGCTTCTCTGGATTTTGTGCTTTTGTCTTTTTTGTCACTTAAGGAGTGAGTGTGATGTTATAAATATCAGTTATATTGAAATGTACGCTGTGGGCTGGGATACAGCGCGGTGGCAAAGCTCCTGCCTGGCAAGCATGAGGTCCTGAATTCGATTCCAGGGAACAACAAAAAAAGTGTGGAGTGTGTCTGTGCAGAAGAATCAATTACCAGGAAAGCGATCAATTCAGGTATAAGCAGACAACACAGTTGTTGTACAGCATTATGAAGAGGAGGTAGGGGTACCTGGGCGAGAGAAGCTCCAGTAATGACTTATCACTGTATCACTGTTTCATCATCGCATGCAAACAAAGACGTGCACTGATGTAGGAGGAGACAGCTTGATCTGTGTGGAATAGCAGACACATAAATGCCGCCTGCATTTTTATTGGAAAATACAAAACATACAAGAAAACTTAGAAGTGCACTGTGCGTTCCTTGTGCACAAAGGCTGTGTTGTGGGTGTGGTCCTTCTATTCCTGAAAAGCATCCAGCAGGGTGACTTAGAGGACAATGACCTCAAGGATTCATTGTGGGGTAAATGAATGAATAAAGAATCAGCATTACTGGAGAAAAGTGCAAGTCCTCATTTTAGTGCCTGGGAAAACAGTCACTTGATGCCTACCTGAATATTTTCTTTTCTGTTAATTTTAAAGGCAGCTCTTTCTTCAACAGCAATATCCCTGGGCCTTTCTGTGCTTTATTTCTGACCTTCAGACTGAGGACTAGGGATTTTCCTGCATAGAGCTGACCTACTGTGTGCCAGAACCTGGATTTGAACTCAGCCTGTCCTGATGGAGACCTCAATCTTCCTCTTTTGATTCAGAATGTAAAATGCTTAGAATGCTTTTGGGTGGGAATTAAGAGCTGGGACCCCTTATGACTTAGACTTGCGTTTTAGAATCCTGTTTAATAGCAGCATTGCTCTGAGTTTCACTTAGTAAGGGGAAGTACTTATGCTTCTACTATAACAGGGTGTGAATGTTTAATGCAGTATGCATTTTTACCTCTCAAAATCCAAAACTCGTGTTTTAGGTGATGGTGATGTGCTTGCAAAAAGATCATAACAATGTGTCATTTAGTGAAAATCCATATCCATTTTTATTTTTAAGTGACTTAAACATAACCTGTTACTTTCTTTCACTAACATGGCTGTTGTGAGTATGCCATCTATTTTTATTCCTGTAGACTTTGGGAATCCATATATTTCTTTCTGATTCCAATTCAGCCAGACTTCATCGTAGCTTGTAGCATTAAATCCACGGCAGTCTGCAGAGGTAGTAATATTCTAAATGTTTAAACTGAATGCTTTTTCGGGCTAATTTAAGTTTCGCCTTCCGGCATACATAGCCAGAAGGGCGTGTTGTGAGAGACGATGCAGTGACTTCACAACTTGAGGCAGATCAAAAGATTGCTGGTTCCTAGAGGTGGCTATTTCCAGCTCCTCTGTCAGTTTCCTAGTCACACCCAGCAACTGGGAGCAACTAAAAATAATCGGCATTACTCCCAACTGAGAATCTGGCCACGTTTACCCGACGGACAATGAGCACCATGTGATCCAGGATCCCTGTGCGCTGCCTGCCTCCTGCCTGCTTGTCAGCCTCGTTTGCTGCTGTTTGCCAGCTATTGCACAGGCAGGACAGGAAAGCAGAGCCGCACTGCAGCTCACCTCCTCGAGTGGCACGCCACGGCTAGGCGTGAGCGCCAATTACAGCTGCCTCTTCCTGGAGCTGTGGCGCGAAGAAGGGCGTGTCAATCAAGGGCGCTACAATAGCACGTGCAGCGGGGCTGGCTGACCGCCCACCTAAGAGGCTTCTGCGAACTCCAGTTGCTGCATGAGAATGAGCCGGGAGCTTTTTGCCTGATCACAGAGCAGAGCCTGTGATCAATTATGCATCCCGAGGTAAACTGTCACCTGAGTAAGGACTCTGAATAATGCATTTCCTGGGGACGACTGTGGTAGCACGAGAGAATGCTGGAATTGCTAGCAAGGTTTCTGCCTGAGATGGGAAGATGTCTCACTATCATTTTATCAAGTGCTGTAAGTAAGCGTGGTGATGTGTGCATGTGGTCATTTGTGTGTCCTTGAAATACTACTTTATGCAGATGCCAAATTGAAGGCAGGCTTCTGCTCATGCAGCGCAGACCAGTGACTTTGGAGGCTGTTTTGCAGGCTGAATAGGCTTCACCTTCGTTTGAGAATCTGAAATCATTCCATTTTTATCCAAATGCTATAGTGCAGGGATCTTTAAAACTTTACCTTTAAAAACTGCGTAAGCAACCAATAAAAAGAGGAATTCACAGGAGGGAGTCCTGTAAGGACATTTATGGGTATTAGCACATATTAATCAGGTGCTTGCACATTCACACACACCCATTTTGCTCTCGAGTTTTATGGGTGCAGCTTGCACCCAGTGCTTACCCTGTGAGCTTGATCTCAGGGTGACCCCTGACTGCCAGCTTCTGTCCTTGTGTCATTCACCTTGCAGTGACCCTGTAGTACAGGCTCCAGGCTGATGCCCTTGTGGTGAAAATAGTTTCTCCCTTCCTTTTCTGATGGGTTTGTAAGGACTTTTTTTAGTGCCTGAGTGTTAGCAGGATTTTCTGAGCTAGAGTGTAGCTGTGTCTCTAACTCTGGATGTCTGTAACGAGGAAGAAGACATATTCATAGCAAAAAGACATTACTATACGTAATATTTGTCTTTTCTGGCACTTCTGCAAACTTCTGTACATTTCTATCATGACCTCAAAGTGACAGAGGAAACTGATAGACAGCGGTCTCCTGTGAAGATGAGGATTTTGCTGAGAAAGGACGTTGCAATGTAAATTAAGTAGCAAGGACAGGGACACATGCTTTGAATGAATCTTGAGTTTTGCCGTTAGGGAGAAGTAAAAATGCCGCTGCTGCTTGGGAATGAGGAAATACTTGCTTTTCTTGTGTCTGGGGTACAGAATGCAGAGAGAAATGACAGCTCGACAGCTTCGGAAACTCCTCCCTCTCTGGAAACACCCAGAGAGCCATGCTTTTAGCCAGTAGATCAGTTTTAACTCTGAAAAGAATGCACTGATCAGCTTGTAAGTTTGTAAATTAGCTCCTTAATAAAAATTGGGCATGCACAGCCTATTTTTAAATTACGGTCTAATTGTTTGCTGTGACTCGTGAAATCCTGAGGTCATTCTCTTGGTAGCATACCTACAGGGCAGCGCCCTCGGCTGGGTTTCGTGTTGCTTCTCATGTTCTCTTGCGTTGGCAGAATCCCATTATTCTCATCTCTGCACCGCTGCAGAGGAAATTCGTGAAATCCGCTGGTGGCTCTTGCTAGGAATGCAGGTGCTCATTTGGGAGCCTGAACGTCTGGCCCGTGGCAGCCATGGAGCTGGGATGGAAGGGAGAGAGACAAAGATGTGACAATTCAAGGAGCTCTTAGACCCCATACACAGTACGAGGCTGCCATGTCCCCCCTCATTTCATTCTGGTGTCATGGAATTATCTGGGTGGGGAATTTCAGAAACTTAAAAGAAGTGATGCCACCTAGCAGATGGAGGCACTTGAGATAATTCTGCTGCTCCATCAGTATGGGAGGTTCACTCTAAAGTTAATGAACTAATGATTTTCATTAATGAAAATATGTCCCCAAGTGCCTGGGAAAAAGGAACTCCTGATGAATTTATCAAAGGAGTTAGGAAGTCCTTACCAAGCAGGTGTCTGTTTTCCGAGCTCCAAGTGTGGCCGTCTGTGTGATGGACAGAAGTGTGGATATTCCGCAGTGCTGACCTCACTGCAGAAATGACAAAAAGGACTTCAGTAATAGGATTTCCTGGAGGCTGAGCCAGCTGGGGTTGTTCCCTGTCCTAGAAAGAACACATCTTCTGCGGGATCCTGAAGGATGACTAGGCTACAGGAAGAAAAATTAGTCTTTTATGGCAGAACACAGGTTTGTAGATGAAGGTCATGCTTTGCAGTTTGAAGGTTGCTCCTGGCGCCTTTTAACCAGGCATGTTGCCTGGTTCCTTGCAGTAGCGAGCCCCACAGTCCCTAGCAAGGTCCACTGGCCTCATCCTTTTCGCTCACTGCTCCCTGCGCTGCTCCGATGTCACGTCGTGCTGCTCTGATCCTCTTCTTTGGCCTTGGTTGGTTCCATTCGGTGTCCACACTGGGGCGGGCTGTGGTGTTTGGGCTCTGGGCTAGAATCCTGGACCTCTGCAATGTGCAGCTACAGTGTCACATGAGGTCCACACCAGGCACAGGAAGCCTCCGGGTGGCGCTGCAGCCCGCCCAGGAGCGATGCTTGTGAAGAACTTCCAGTCCCAGGGAGATCTTGTTAATCCTGTGCATACCAAGGGCCTGGCTCAGCCTCATGGTGGTCACCCTGGCTGTGGTATTGCTGTCTGTAAATGGCTCTACACTTCCAGGATGATCTGCAGCATGAGATGTTTCGCTTCAGAGAAAGAAAACCTGAAAGCATCGAAAAGGGAAGCAAACAGAAGATGCGGTAACTGGATCTGTGCTGTTTCCCATGGCTTCTGATGTCACGGGAACGGGCTTTGTTCTCTGCATCCCATGTATCTCGTCTGGAAATGTCAGAGGCTGGAGCGTGACAGGATGTAGCAGGGAAGTTTAAGAACATTTCTGCACAAAGGCCCCTCTTCCTCCTCTAGGGCCCGTGGTCATCAGTGCTGTCTCCATGGAGATGCCCGTCCTGTAGCCTGCCCGTACTGCCCCTGGTCAGGCGCCCAGTGCAGTTGCCCGTACCCTCTGCAGCACTCGAGAAAACACGCCTCTCCCAGGTGACCCCCGCCTTCCCCAGAGGCTTCTGCGAGGGACCAGAGTCCTGGGCTGACCCCTAGAGGGCCGTCAGAGAGCTCTCAGGGTCTGGATCCCGGGTCCCAGCGGGCATCGCTCCCTGCCCTCTCTTCGCTTCCCCAGCTTGTACCTGCCTCTCACCTGCAGCCTATCCTCTCTCCTTCTGCAGTGGCACAGAAGGCATCACTGGCCCAGCCAAGAGGGCTCCGCGTAGCTGTGGGGTGCGATCTCTCCCTTGGCCTCTCTCTTCTGCAGCATGGAATTGTCCCCAGGCCTGCCCCAAGCCTGTGTGCTCCTTCTCCTGCTCCTTCTCCGGCTCACCTTCACTCTCCAGTGTCCTCAGCTTCTTCCCCACCGTTCCCCGTTCCATCAGGGATTCAGTGGCTCTGGACGCCACCTTTACAGGATCCACTGGTCCCCGTGTCTCATGCCCATGCTCTGACTTCACGCCCACCTGGTGCCTCTTTCCAGCCTGTGGGTCCCTTCTGCCTTCACTTCGCCCGCTGGAGCCCACTTTGCTGAGGCACTGTGCAGACTTGGTCCGGACACTTCCCCAGATCCCCGGAACCTCACCCACTCCCACAGCTCACAGCGTCACCTGTCGTTCCTTGATGGCACCTTTAACCCAGATGTGCCCTCCTGAGCCACGCTGACCTCTCTGTGGGCATCTCTGTGGGACAATGATGCAGCCAAGTCTTCTCTCTGATGTCCCATAGCTAAGTGATATTGCACAGTGTGTCTTAAACCATTCCATTATCCAACGTGTCTCTTTCTAATCGGCGTTAAAACATTATAGTCAGGCAGTGCGGCTCACGCTGCAAAAGCATTGATTCCCAAAAAGCAGTAATGCTACTTGAACAGCCCTGGTGAGGCTGCTCGCAGAGACACCGCTGGATTTGTCTCAGGCTCCCATGAGCCTGGGAGCAGCACCCCTGTGTCCCACCAGCCTGGACTAGGTCCCTCTTCCAGGGATGCTAACTCCATTCCTGAAATACAGTTTCTTGTAATGCTTGTGATTTTACTTTACTTTTTAGTATATGTTTGAGATTCATAATAAACACGTTGGTTATGGGACTGAGTCCCTTATACGTACATCTTAATCCTTTTACTTCCCCTTCCCTAGCCCTCCCTCACATCTTCTCCCCAAACTCCCTTCCCATCTCCACAGAGTCTACAGAATACTACTCTGCCATAAAGAAGCATAAATGTGAGTCACCTGGAGACTGTAATGTTAAGTGAAACAAATTAGACACACAAGCTTAAGTGTCACACAGCTTTGCTTACATGTGAAACACTAAATATAAATAATTAGAAGTGCAAAATGAAGGACAGATGATAGGAGACAGGAGGTAGAATTTGTGGTATTCTGTTGTACTATTGGTTAAGGAAGTTCCCTTCATTTTGAAATGGTTTTGTTTCTTCAAATCTGTTTTCACTGTTTATGTTAAACTCTTATCCTTTTTGTCACCAGGTTTATGCAATCTATCTTATAAGGGGAAATTAAATCTCCTCTGAATAACTTTGTGCTGAAAATAGTCTTCTTCCTTCATTCTTCTGTCTTTGTTTTGGGCGCTCACTGGTGGCTGAATGTGGGAAACGCTGTTGCTGTGTTTCCCTTGATGCTTTTGGTCTCCTGGTTGCTGTGTGCGTGTGAGGTCTGCTTCCCTGCAGTCCAATAGCCTCCCGCTTTTCAGTCTGAGCTTTCATTTCTGTATCTTAGGCCGGCGCCTGTGTGAAGTGAAATGAGGAAGGGTCCCCCATCTTCCCACCTCCCACATCACCCGAAATGCACTCGCTCCTGGTTTCCATGGGCGGCATCCATGCCTTCACTGAGCTTAGGGCCTGCTATTTGATTAGTTCTTATGACTGTAGAGTGAATTGTGCCATCTGATAAAGTGAATCATCTCTACGGAAACTCTCATTTTTTCTTAGATAAGTTCAAATATTTATTTTTCAATATTAAAATATTTTAAACGTGTTGCAAAAGAAACTATGTAAATACCAAGTCAGGATTTTATGAAAGGTATCCAGCAATTTGGATTCAAAACATACATCAGAGTGAGATCTGTAGATGGTACTCCCTGTACCCACTAAATAATCTGTTTCTGTACACAGCACCTCATTTAGCAGGTGCTTATCTCTACACAGCACATGTGTAATTATGGACTGGCCTTGTTAGCAACACTGTGTTATGAGATGTTGTTATAATAAACGATGCTCTCACACCGGTGATAAGCCTAGCACTGATAAATGTAACGCAGTTAAGAAAAAGATAGAACTCATTAAATGTACTGCTAAACGGAGCTCTCTAACCTTAGATACCTATTTATAGCCACAACCTCTCTCGCGTGCATGCCATATGCATATACAGCTTTTGAAAAAGGAAAGGGGATTGTCTTGCTTATTTTGTCATTTCTGGGACAAAATATCCAACACCTGAAGTTAAAGGAGGAGGGGTTTATTTCAGCTCAAGGTTTATAGAGGTTTCATCCGTAGTCAGCTGGCTCCAAGGCAGGGCAATGTGGCACAGGGGCATCGCGGAGGAGAAACAGTCCATGGCACAGCAGGCAGGAGCAGATGTCAGAGCAGCAGATGGAACCTCCTTTCCCTTTTATGCCATCCAGGCTGCAAGGCTATTGGGTGGTTCCAACCATGCCCACAGTGGGGCTTCCCATTATCCATACCCAGAACTGTGCTAAGCCAATCTGTGAACCCAATAATTATAAATATGGCTATAAATATAATTACCACACTCTAGATTCAGTCACCTCCACAAAGCTCCACCCATGAGCACGTGAGGCTTTGTAGGGACATCTAGACACAGACCATCACAGGGACCGAGAGATGGAGGCGGAAGGAGGATGTGAAAGGAATTAAGGTATTGTTTGTTCAGGTGTTGTTCATCCCCACAGTGAATGGAATCACCATGTACTGCAAACAGGCACTAATAAAAAACCAGAAATCTTATTGAACTGTTGTTTTCCAAGCCAGCCAATGTCCTTGCTCTGTTGAGGTTCCCTGCCAGTGAGACAAAGAGCAAGCAAGTAACAAACAGAAAACAGCAACAATAGCAGCAGCAGCAGCAGTAAAATTTTGCAGCTGCAGCTGCTGTGAGGAAAATAAAGGGATTTTAAAAAGAGCTAAACATATGGCCTAGGGCATAACAAGGGTAAGAAAGTATTTACATGGATCCTTAGGAAAGTTTCTTTGAAGAAGTGATTTCTGGTCATGAAGTAGACCTGGGGGCTTTTTTATTAGTGCATGTTTGTAGCCAGCAGAGGGAACAGCAAGTATCAAGGTCCTGGGGCAGGAGAAAGCATGTTTCGGTCATTAAACTAGACAGTCGAAGCCCCCAAATTAACTGTTTTCCTTATCACATTGTTATTTCTCCCCCTAAACAATAGTTAAATGGTACTTTTTATTTGAATGATCTTAGCTGCTTAGGCCAATATTAATAGTCACATTTACAGGGACTTTATGAACTTTATGAAGTTCCCCCTCTCACCCAATTACCACATTCTAGCTCTGTGCTATTACTGTGCAAAATGCTGGACTCTTGTTGTTCCCCCATATCTCAGATTATTGCATGGTTTCTGTCAGCGAGCATTCTGACCCCACCTCCCTGCCTCCTGGTTACAGCAGCAGACACTCAGGCTCCTGGCTCAGTGCTACATACACACACACACACACTTCTGGTTTCTCCTCCCCTTGTGCCAGGCGCTGCCCTATGCACAGAGTTCGTGTGCATAAGTGGCCTCCTTATGCTCCAGGTGTTCACGATCTAGAGTGGAGCTGGCAGGTGAGTAAGCAGAGTTCCACACACATCTGTCAGACAGGACCATGCGGGCTTCAGCTTGGTCATTTGATGGCCCTGCAGGGTCAGGACAAAGGGGAGGCTAAGGCAGGAAGCATCCAGGTGGCAGGTGCAGGTCTGGATGTCTGTCTGACGAAAGGGACGTTTCTAAGATACCTGTGCAGTCACGAGCCGAGCATCAGTGCCACGCTCTGCACCTTGCTTTCTCCTTTCTTTCCTTCCTTCTTTCCTACCATCCTTCCTTCCTTTGGGGGCGGGGTCTGCTGAGGGTGGTCATTTCACCTCCGCCATCTTTGGTGGGGCTGCAGTGTCCCTGGCCTGCTGTTTGTCAGACTCTCTAGCTTCGTAAAGTCAAAACCCAAGTGGGCCTCTGGGTCCTGTGTGCCCTGCACCCCAGAAATGTCCAAGCTTCCCCTGTGCTCTCCCTCCTGAAGCAGAGCTTCCTGATCACGGGGAGGTAGGAAGCATGGGACCAGGCTGCCCTCTCCCTGGAAGCAGTTGGACTCTCCTAACGTATTTTACCAGTAAGACTGGAAAGTGAAGATGTGAGTCAGCGAGGTCACACGTAGGGGGTGCAGATGGCAGTGGCTCCAGGGACCAATGGAGGGGCTTTCAGACAGCTGACCCCAGGAGGCTGTTTTGGTGACACACGTCCATCTTACATGGACGTGGGTGTCAGGAAGCCTGATGTAGTGTAAGGATCCAGGAAAGAAGTAGTGAAAGGTGGTGCAGGTCAAGAACTGTGGGAAGGCAGGCAGGAAATAAGCTTCAGTGGAGGGAGAGGGTCTCAGTCAGGGACAGGAGGGAGGCAAA